GAGGACTAACAGTCTGATGAGAAACTTGGGAAACAAGAGGGGCAGGAGGTAGAAGCAAATCATCATACAAGATAAAGGAAAAATGAAAGGTTAGGATAACCTCTGTGTTGTTCCACTGGAAGATTGGATGAATGCTGACATCACCCACTATCAGAGGTAAAATGGGAGAAGAAAGAGTTTTATTTGGGAGAAAGGGAAAATGAATAATTTTGGAAAATGTTGACGATGAGGGCTTATTGTTCATTCATGACGAAGTTGGAAATACAGGACCGAGGACTGAGGAGTGAATTGGAAATAGGAATTTGCTGAAAATCTTCAGTTTAGTGCTACTGTCTTCAAGATTATACCAATGTGGGAAATGGTATGCTACTTAGGGCTCTTGCACTTAGCTGTGTAAGCTTGGAGAAATTATGTCCTCTCTCTACCAGTAATGTGGGGCAAAAGTAGGATAAGACAATGTTAAAGATATCTTAAGATTTGGGGAATTTGTCAAGCTTGCTTATTGAAATTTGTCTAATATTGATGGTTAGGTTTGTAATGTCAAGGGAGTTTTACTAGATACAGAAAGACTGAGTTGTAGTCCATGTTACAGAGCAATGTGCATTCTAATCAGATTCCCTCTATATTTGTTTTTTTCCCCCAAGAACCTGGGAAGAAAATGAATACTGTACTGAGGCAGAAATTTTCACAGCTGCAAGTCTCTGACATAATGCCACTCACTTGTTTTATTATTGTGCTCATGGATTATATCTCATGCGGTGAGGTTTAATATGTTCCTGATTTTAAGCAAAGCATTGCTCTTATTTATTTTCAATCAATTTATAATAATCATATTGTTGTTAATTTAAAAAATACCTTAAGGGGAGCTTGTTGAGTTAGGAAGGGATGCGCTCTGGGATTCTGGGGGATCTTTCAAGGATAATGCACATGTTTCTGGGTAAAGAAATGGAATTTTGGACTGAGCAAATTTTTGTGGTTCAGAATGATGCGATCTTGTTCAGTTTATATTTCCTGATTTTATCCTGATTGTTCAGAACACAGTTAATTTTTTCCTTGTTCTTTCTCTGGGCCTCTCTGGTCTAGAATGGAAATATGTCTTCTCTAAGCATTTGGGAAATAGCCCAATATGAAACTCCTTTATCAAATCCTATGTGCAACATTTCCCTGGGAAAAAGGCCAAAATTGACCACTTATGCCAGATAGGGAAAACTCAGCAGGTTTTCCAAATTTGAACACTATGATTCTTCCAACAAAGATTTTTGAAAGCCAAGATATGGTTTGCATATTTTGGTTTACAATACTCAAACTGAAATTTGATTCACCTTGCTTTTCATTAAGTACCAGGAAGAGGATTTTCCTAGAATTCAGCCTAATCTGCTTCCAACCGTATTCTCTGAATTTAAGAGCATTTCAAATGATTAAAAAATAACCTTGGATCTGTAATTCAGCCACAGTGCACATGATCAGAGGAGAACCGACTTAAATCATGTTATCTTATAGATAAATGACCCTCTACTATGAGTAAGGAGGAGAATTATGTTTTTTATTTTTATTTTTTATTTTTATGTTTTATTTATTTTTTAATTAAAAATATTTTTTAATGTTTATTTATTTTTGATAGAGACAGAGACAGAATGCAAGTGGGTTAGGGGCAGAGAGAGAGGGAGACACAGAATCCAAAGCAGGTTCCAGGCTCTGAGCTGTCAGCACAGAGCCTGACGTGGGGCTCAAACTCACGAGCTGTGAGATCATGACTTGAGCCAAAGTTGGACGCTCAACTGACTGAGCCACCTATGCACCCCAGGGAGGAGAATTTTAGATTTATAAAATCGATGATTGAAAATGAGAGAATTCCAAGTTCTATTCTAAAGCCTACATTTTGGAAAAATGCTTTCTACTTAATGCTTATTGGCTAATACAGGGAGTGACACACCTTAAATTAGTTTAAGGATTTGTTCTTTGAGTTGATAGTCTCTCTTTTTGGTAACACAGCTTAGTACTTTAGTCCATGTTAGAATCCACATTCTTATGCTATAGATTAATTGGAAATTAAATATTTTTATCACTCACCATTATATCAAGTGAAAACTTTACATGAAAACTCGTCCACTAGGGAGAGGGATGGGATTAATTCATGGTCTCTCACATAAATTACACGTGTTGGGTCTTCCTAGGTACACCAGGGAAGCTATTTTACCGAAATCTTAGAAATCTGAAAGAGAAAGTGCTAGGAGACTATTCAGCCTTATGTTAGATACACATCAAAATAAGCCCCAGGGCTTTAAGTGGTTTCATGGACAATGAAAAATACCCCATTTTTGAGTTGGATTCACCTAGACTTATAATAATCAGGTATTTTTTTCTTAAGTTTAATGAAATTAGCCTTCTCTTGATCACAACAGTGTGCATTGCTAAAAGATATACAAATGCAATAAAATTTGGATTTGTAGCTCTAAGTATATCTTAAAGATAACATTTGAAAAATATTTTTCTAATGGCTATATTTTTTTCACTTTCAATTACATTTTGTCTGTGGGTAGTAGTTACAAATATAAATATTGTTTGCATGGTAGCTGATGGTGTACTTATTTGAATAGCCCAGAACCTCCTTACAGAAATAGATATAACCACTAAAATAACGTATCAGTAATATAACAGGTAACATCTACAAGAAAATCATGTGAAAATTATTCCTTTATGTGTGGGGTCAAACCAAAAACAGCAGTAAGAACTGTATGATTTCAACAATATGCAAGAAAAAGCAGAAACAGAGAGTAAATAATCTTCAAATGTCCCTGAGCACTGAAGAATCCAGAAATTGGTGCATTTGTTGTAGAAAACTTGATGGAAAAATCTTAAGCAGCTCAACTAGAAGTGTCTACAGAGGCTTAGCTTTTCAAGGAAATTAATGGTGACCAAAGGAATATCAGACAACGTTGAGCCTTGTGGTTAATGAAATCCTCACTTTTAGAATAAAGTACCAGATGTAGGTAAAATTACAGTGAGTGGAATGCACACTGAGCAGAAAATAGGCATTAAGTACAAAGGAGATAGTTCATATAAAAGTCAGCAAAAGGAATAGAGCTAGCACATCTCAGAAAATAGAAGGCCATCTTTTTGAGTCTTATATGACAAGAGTGGAGAAAATTGCTCTAGGGTCATGTGATTAGATGGTATTTTAGCCTACCCTCCCCTTCTAGGAGTCCAGGAAAACCTATTTTCACTTAGAAATCAGCTGTTGAAATATATTGTAATAGAAATATTTTAAATTTTTATAAGTGAGCAAAATAACATGCCTGTAGATATTTAATTATTTCCAGAAAGACATGCACAAAAAGAGGTAAAACCTATGTTGGTATTTGAAATCATCCAAAAGGGAATTAAGGAAACAATAGAAATCATAATTAGAAAATCTTGGTGAAAATTCATTCAACAAATGAGAATATAAAGAACCAACAGATTTCATACAACAATAAGGAATGAAAGAAAAAAAAGATAACCTCAGAAGTAAAGTTTAAACAAGAAAGAAGACCACAGATAGGTCATAGGGATGTAGGTAGTGGAAAGAAGAGAAAAAAGGAAAGACAATAGAAATAAAGAAAAACAGGGCTTTGAGATAATGATATATATACAAAGGGGTAATGATGATGCAACATATGTATAATGGTAGTCATAGCTGAAGAAGGAGAGGAGGAGAAGAAACCATACTAGAAATTGGAATTCAACTAAATTTTCTTGGAATAAAAAATTACTTGAAACTACATATTGAAAGGACACACCACACCAGGAAGATTAATTTTTAGCACAATTATGGACATTAGAGAAACAATTTTTAGGCATCTTCCCCAAAAGATAGAGTCATTTGCAAGAAAAATAAGATGGTTATCAGAATTTATGCAAGTACTATTTTGTGCCAGAAGACAATGTAGTAATATATGTGAGAAAAAAAATGTGAGCCCACAGTTACACATCCAAACTGATGTTAAAATGTAAATACATTTTACATAATATAGATATCCTATTACTAACATGCATAGTGTCAGTTACTTTTTTGTGTGTCCTTCATAAGAAATGTACTAGAGAAAGATCTTAGGGTATTGAAAAAGCCTAAAGAAGCACTGTCATAAGTATTTACAGTAAGCATTGAATATAATTTTATCAATAGAACTAAAATCAGTTTAGGAAGAATGAGAGGAAGGAAAGCAGAATGAGTTTATTGATTGCCTAATGGACATAAACTAGGAGTTAAAGTATATGTCCTTAAATTAGGTACAATGAGAGAGAAGGCAGAGAAGGAAGAGGTTTTACTCAAAAAAACTCGCTTGTGGTAGAAAACAAGTAGACATTATTCAAAAAGAAAAAAAAGAATAAAGAAGTATAAAGGTAACTATTACAAAATAATACAAATTTGTCTAAATACTCAAGATATGCAGAGGGTATGAGAGTGACAATAGGATGAAAGAGGAAAGGGAGAGAGAGACTGTAGTAAAAGGACATTTAGATTGTAAACATAAGGTGAAAAATACCGTGAAATTCAGAAAGTCCGAACAATTAACATATCAGTCAAGGTTCTGTCAGGAAGACAGAAGCCACCCTATATATTCAGGTATAATTGTTTTAATGTAGAATGAGGGGATTAAATATCTGTTGGAAGAGGCGGAGGGTCAGGGATCAGTGAAGCTCCAGCTGAGAGCTAGAGGGTCTTCTGCAAGTCAGACGAGTCAACACTGACATCTCAACTGGAAGTACCAAAGTAGATCGATCATTCTCAAACTGGAAGCTGCTGCAATTCTTGCTAATCTGAGAATTCTCCACCAAATATCTCAACCTGTAGGGCAGATGAGGGTAACTCTTCAATAAGAGTTGTCAGGAATTTCTCCTGTGCCCATTGTCCAGCTACAATTGCCTTAAGAGAAGAATGTCTTCTCTTTCATTTTGATCTTTTAAAAATTATTTTAAATGTTTTAAAATATAATTTATACAGTGTATAAATTATACCAGTGTGCTCTTGGTTTCAGAGGTAGATTCCTGTGATTCATCGCTTACATACAACACCCAGTGCTCATCCCAACAAGTGCTCTCCTCAATGCCCATCACCCATTTTCCCCTCTCCCCTTGCACCCATCCCCCCCTCCTCCCTCCCCGCCCCTCCTCCCCCCCATCAACCCTCAGTTGGTCCTCTGTATTTAAGAGTCCCTTATGGCTTGCCTCCCTCTCTGTTTGAAATTATTTTTCCCTTATCTTCCCCCATGGTCTTCTGTTAAGTTTCTCAAGTTCCACACACAAGTCAACCAGAGAAAGACAGATATCATATGTTTTCACTCATTTTGATCTTTTAAATTCATACAGGTTCCCCTTACAGTCTTTTCCCCAGAACCATACATAGAAGGAGATTTTGGGAAATGCATCAGATAGGAGTGGGCTAAAGATGGTGCTGAGTTAATATCACAGTTAGCAAAGAAAATCATTCAGTATGCTGCATACAAGAAATGCATCTGTAACAAAGAGGTTCTGAAACGTTTACAATGAAATAGTGCACAAAGATGTACTAGACAACTGCAAATGAAAAAGAAAACACAGGGGTCATGATTTTGGTATTTGACAAAATTGATAAAATTGAATGAGGCTGAGAGACATAAAGGAGACAAGAACACTTTAAAATGTTAAAGCCTATATTTAATAATAGAGATGAGTTATTAAATATGCCTGCATGTAATAACAGCAATGACTCATAAAAATAAACAAGAGATACAAGAAAAATAGAATACAGAAATAACATAATGGCATTTCCTCACCATAGATATTAATAGCAACATTAAAAAAAGGTATCACATGGGGCACCTGAATGGCCCAGTTGGTTAAGCGTCCTACTTTGGCTCAGGTCATTATCTCTTAGTTCATGAGTTCAAGCCCTATGTTGGGCTCTGTGCTGAAAAGTCTGAGCCTGGAGCCTGCTTCAGATTCTGTGTCTCCCTCTCTCTCTGTCCCTCCCCTTCTGGTGCTCTGTCTCTCTCAAAAATAAAAACATTAAAAATAATTAAAAATAAAAAAATGTATCTCATGGCTAGTATAGCTTTAAACTGTTAATAATTCAGGAAAAACAAAATTTATTGTATTTTAGTTACATACATTTTAGATAAAGTTATATATAATACACATATGTATCTTTTTAAGTTTCTAGTTTTATGAAGCGTTAATGCCTTTTGTGCGTTTTATCTGTTGGTTTGTCTATTTGTAAAAGGTTTATAGAAGCTTTTGATACTTCATACCGATACCCTTTGTCTGAGCATATTACAAGGTTGTATCATAGAACTCAAGCGGCTACATACATCCAGTTGAGTCCACTTGTGCCACAGTAGGGTGGTTGGTATATTTATACCTAGCCCCTTCTTACAGAGTTCTGGCTTCTATGTAAGTGGGCCACTCCATTTCTAGGGATTCTGGCTGCAATTAATTATGCAATCTAGCACATTACATATCCCTCCTAGGTGTCTTTCATTTATCACCAGTACTTAATATTTACAACTAAGGTTGCAGCTAATTCTCTTTGCCTCTTGATTTGATTCAGCCTATGCTTTTACTACCTCACTGGATTCTTTATTGTTTTCAGATTTTTCTGTCTGGCTGCAGGCTTCAATTTTATAGTCATTTTATTGACACTGTTTAATTTATTTTAGAATGATTTCCACACTGGTAAAAGTGTATTTCTCAATGTACGAACTTCCGTGCTCAGAAATATCCCATTATGTGAATCTTATTCCACACTGATAGTGGAAAAATGTGTTTATGGGTTGGTTGAGTTTGGTCGTGACAGCATTTCCATTTCTCTCCCTTAGGTGAGGAAAATCAGTAAAAAAGGTAAACTGTAAGCCTCGGTGAAAATGTGCAATTATACTGTCATGCAGACTCAGTCCTCAGATTCCCCTCCCTCTTTATACCTGTTTCAAAGAGATAGAAACATTCTGGGCTGTGCTACCCATTTTCCCCTCTCTATTCTCCCTTCCTAGAAAGCCAGGTCTTGTCTCCAAAGTCCAATCAAGTGTCTACAACTGTATCATACCAGGAACAGATCTTCTTGGTGACAACTTTATCTGGCAGATTCTTGACTTGTTCTGGGAACACTGAGACATACTGATGCTAGGTTATTTGGACACTGTACCCTATTGACCTAACTATATATATTTTCAATCATATCTATCCTAAATTAGACATGATTCAGATCAGATATTATTTCTCTCTACTCCATTCGACCCCACAAACTTTTTCCTTTTCCTTTTCCTTCTTTCTTAACTTTCATACCATAAGTGTTCTGTATTTGGCCTAGATTATATGCTTTAATTATCTTATTCTAAAGTTTTTATCTTAGGGTATGAGAAGAACAATCAGCTTTCAAATTTCAAGGGAAAAGGAGGTCTTGAAAGATGAGGAGGGCTTAGGCAAGCAGGGAGAGGGGAAATAATATTCAAAGACCATAGAATAATTTTAAATTCGATACAGGTGCTAGTATACACAATATTTCATACATAATGTAAATACTGTATTTACTTCTATTATTGCTTATGGTATAATCATTTAAACTTTAAATGCCTGCATCATACAATTCAATCAAACACATGTCATAAGGAATCATGGATGAAAATTTCACTGATTCATGATTATATTTTCTCCTTACTCTTGTCTAACATTTATAAAGATCACATCAAGAATATAAACTCTGGAAGCAGATTATCTGAGTTTGGATTGCGTCTCTAATACTTCCTTGTGGTAAAATCTTGGTCAAATTACTTAATCTTTCTCTGCTTCATTTGGCTCATTTATGAAAAGGCAATATTAATCCTACACATACCTCCTATTCATGTTGTAATGATAAAATGAATTTGTATATGTTAATGGCTTAGAACAGTGCCTGGTATCATTGTGAGGGATATGAAACAAATAAAGGCTGGGCAAGAGGTGAATAGCAGATGTGCACTAGGGCCATTTCAAACTATTTTTTTTAATTAGACATTTTTGTTACTTCCATTTCCATTTCTAGTCCTTTCTCCTACCTCTGAGGTTGCCTGTGTCTTAAAGTGGCAAGGAAGTTCCAAACTGTAAACTAGGAGATACTACTTGCAAATCAAAACAAGGTCTTACCATCTTGTCTTTCTGCAGCTCAAAGTCGACTGCTCTAGGTTGACCTAAGAGAGTCTCCAGAGCTTCCCTGCAAAACAAGCCACAGCCAAATAACCAACACCCTAATAATTTAACTACCCTTTGAAATTTAAGATAATTTCAGAGGATTTTAGATTGGTTTAGCAAATAAAAGATTAAAGGAGAGAAATCTTATATTTTGATTAATGATTCACGAAAAGATGGTAAAAGTTGGCTCAAAATACTCCATTTATTTTTACCCAGCTTGATTCATTATCCAGAACTCTTCAAATATTTAATCACTGTATTTGGAATTAGTTATCAGGCGCTTATTCCAGCACTTTTAATATTAATATTTATCTTTGTTTAAAGCTGTATTTGTATATAACAACATTTATAGAGATTAAAGAGACCTTGCATGTCTTTGAGGATTTATGCTATGTAACCAAGTTAAGGGAACATTAAACAGGCCTTTCCATGCCAAAAAGATCTGCTGTTATAAGGAAAACAGTTCTCTTATCTATTGTACTGTGTTCCCAGTCTTACTTTAAGTACTGAAGATAAAGTTGATAAAAATGAATGGACTGACACATAGATCAATGGAACAGAATAGAAAGCCCAAAAATAGTTCCACATAAATGTGGTCAATTGATTTTTGACAAAGGTGCAAAAACTATTGAGTAGAGAAAGAATAACCTTTTCCAAAAGTGGTGTTGAAACCATTGGTCATTTGCAAAAAAAGGAAAGAAAGAAAAAAGAAAAGAAAAACTCAAGCTATGCACATCTGTAGCACGGATGATTTGGCCTGAACATCTAGAAAGTTTGAATTGCCAATAAATAAGATGAAGACTGCAGGGGAAGCAAGCCTGCTGGCTAAGGGAGGAGAAACAAGCTTACCACTTTTAGAAACATTAGGTTTGAAGTCCTTATTCATCATCTAAGTGAAGATGTCTAGGAAGTAGTTGTATTTATGAGTCTAGTGTCCTATGGAGAGACTTGGATGGAAGATTCACATTTGGGAGTTGTCAGACTAGAGATAATATTTAAAAACTTGAGTTTGAAAGAGATCACTTAGTGAATAAGTATAGATAGAATAGGAATCTGAGGATTGACACCCAAGCCCTTCCATTGCCTAGAGATCAAAATATGATGAGAAACAGAGGTAAATGAAAAGCTGCCAGTGATGTAGAAAGAGAACTAACTGAGAGAGATATCCCTGAAGTGAATAAATGAGTTTCAAAAAGACATTGATGAACTATGTCAGATATAGCTGGTAACTGAAGAAGTATGTGGGCTTCTAATGGAAAAGAGCAGTTTCAGTGGAATGATGAGTTGAATGCTTGATCAGATTGGGTTCAGAAAAGAATGGGAAATGAGTTGGTAACATAACATATATGTACCTTTTTTGAGAAGGTTTTCTATAAAGACGAATATAATCTGGAAGGCATTGGAGAGTCAAAGGAGAATTTCCTGTTGGTTTTTAACTTGAGAGTCATTATAGTATATTTATATGCTAATGAGCATGATCCAATGAAGAGTAACAGGTGGATGAATTACAGATTTTGAAACATCCATGACCAACTCAAGTGGGTGAGAAAAGATGAATTCAAGCACACCACTGTTGGGACTGGCCCTAGGTGCATGGACAGTACATCTGTCATAAGTGCGGTGAAGTAGGACTCTGTAGATGCAAATGTAGTTTTATTGTAGATATTTTGGTTAGAGCATATTGATATGCCTTCTAATTCTTTCCATTTTGTCAATGAAATGCAATCCTAGAACAGTTACAGTTCTATTTTCTATGGAAAATAGAAAAGGAAATAAATTGGTAGTATAGTCTCTGGGTATCCATAATGGCTTGTGTGAAGTTAGATGGCTTCCATAATGGCTTGTGTGAAGTAGAAGTAAATCTACTTAGTAGGGTTTTATCTAACCAAATTCAGTGCACAAGTAGAGATTGGACACAGGTAGGGAGCTGGAGTTTTGCCAGGTAAGTCCAACACAGGAGCAAAGAAGTAGATGTTGTATACTAGAGTATCATTAAAATCATGGATCTTATTTGAAGGTAAAGGGGTAAGTGCACCATTGTACATTCCCTAATCAGCCCTTGATCCATGGTGCAAAGCTTCCAATACAAAGGACATTGGCAGCACCATTGTTATAGATGAACATGATTTAAAATATACCAACATCTTTTACTGATAGTCCAGCTAGAGAAATATTAACACTGATTACTGTGATTTTCACCTCCTAGAGTAATACCTTATGTGGACCAGACAGGTTCCAAACAGATGAGGGAATTGAAAGTCAGAGAAGAAAGTCCCTTGCCCAAGTCACCAGACAGTGACTGAGCCAGGATTAGACCTGTTGCATCCTTTTACATGAGCTGTGCCCTGCCTGCTGACTCCACACTGCATCAGCCTGTGCCTCAGGTCATATTTAATTCCACGTGTTAGTCTGAGTTCTGGTTTGGAACAACTGTTATCTGACTTGCAATTTCCTTTGTATCCATGAGCGAAAAGGTCAAAAGTTTTGACTATAACCAAAACCCACCTCTAATAAATGGCAGGCTTTTTTTTTTTTTTTTTTCTTACTTCAGTCTCAAAGCAGTAGGATACAAAACTCAAAAGCCTCTCTTTATGCAGTACAAATTACATACGGCATTAGAGAGCTGAGAGAGTTTGGAAACTAAATCTCAAAGGCAAATATAAAGTAATTAAATAACTTATTTTTAGGGTCAGTGTTTATTTTCTCATCAAATGTGCATCACTCAAGGAAATAAAAATTAAGAAAATATCTTTTATCAAAACACCAAGTGGAAATTTAATTTTAGAAGGAAGAGACTGGTCTGTTTTTCACCATGGAGGCTAACCTCTGGAGAATTGCTCCACTGAAACTGTGGTGTGTTTCACATGCACTGCTTCCTACTGAAAGAACACATACGGAAGCATTTGTCTGCACTTTGCTCATATTAAGCCATTTAGAAATAAGTTATTTTGGTTTGGAACTACTGTAGTTCAGTTATTAAAATGTTGAGGTCTGTTCTTTGGTAACATGTTGACATTTGTTTATGATGCTAGTGTCTGAACTTTCTCATTCATCCTCACATGGCATTCTGACAGAGAGTTGCAAATGATGGCATTTCAGATGTGTCACCATCACCTCCATACCTACCATACAATTATATGTCCCACAAGCATCTGAAGTGGAACATTTTAATACCAATCTTATTTTTTTCTCCCAATTTTTCTCCCATCAAGCAGCACCCTCTCTGGATTTTCTTGTCATCCACTAGGGGGTCCAAGCAAGATGTCTGGCATTTATCCTAGGCCCCATAGCCCAGTGGGTAAAAAATTCAGGCTCTAGAGCTAGATAGACATGCATTCAGATCTTGACTCTGCATCTTATTTTTAACATGTTATTTAGCCTTCCTAAGCACCATGTTTCTCATCTTTAAAAGTTAGCAATAATGGTGGCTAACCCATAGGATTATTTTGAATATTCACAAAGATAATACACTTCATAAATATTTAGTAGGTCCCTACTATCTAGTATTGTGTGGCTACCCCAGTGAGCAAAGTAGACAAGGTTAATCCTTTAATTGCGTAAACATACTAGTTGGGAAAACAGATATTAAAGCAACACACTATTAAACAAGCATGATTATATCAAGTAATAAATGCCATGATATATATGAAAGAGATTGGGGCATTATATTGGCAGGATAGGGAGGGGAAAATAAAGTGCAGGGAGGTGAAAATAAGAACCCAGGAATGTAGAGATCTGGGGGCAGGATTTCAGTCCCAGGGAGGGGGCAGTTATTACCAAAGCATTAAGGTGAGACTGGTGTTCTTGAAACATGTTCAACAGTAGAAAGTAAGCCAATATCATTAGGAGGAATGAAAAAGAAGCAGAAAGGTACAGATGACATCAGAAATTTTGGCAGAGAACAGATAATATCACTTTTAAATACTTGAAAATCAATGACAGTGGAAGAATATAACATATCAAGATTTGTGGATATAATGTGTACTTGCATATATTAGATGGAGAAAACAATTGGAAAATAAAACTTTATAAAAATACCTTTGATAATAGCACCAAAATCCCCAAATACTTAAGGATATATCTAACAAAACATAGCCAAGTTTTCCATACTAAAAACTGTAGAATGTTAATAAAACCACTGTAGACATAAATGAGAGATCTGTTGTACTCATGAGTTGGAATGCTCATAATTATTAACATGTCAAATTCTAAAATTATTCTAAGGATTCATAACAATGATAGTCAACATTTTAGCCCCTGTTTTTTATTTTATATTAACAAGCTGATTCTAAAATATATATGGAAATGCAAAGGATTCAGAATAGCCAGAACAAATGAAGGCCTTATCCAAGTTACAAATCATTGACCTAATTATGAATCTAAGAGAATAAAACATCTAAAGCACAGGATAAAATCTTTGCTACCCCAACATTGGCAAAGATTTCTTAGATAAAATTTAAAAGCATGAAGCATGACATAAAAATAATTTGTTGGATCTCACTAAAGTTTAAGAATTGCCATTGAAAAACTTAAGATGAAAAAGAAAGGTTATATAGTAGTACAAAATATTTACAACATATATATGAGACAGACTTGTTTCCAGAATATATAAAGAATGTTACAACTCAATCAGATAAACCATTCCATGTATATTGGGCAAAATATTAGACACTTTGCAAGAGAAGAGATATATATATAGCAAATAAGCATATAAAAAGATACTCAATATCATTAATTAGCAGGGAAATGCAACCTTAAAGTGAGATACTGCTGCATATCCATTAGATTGGCTAAAATGAAAAAGAATGAGCATACCAAGTGTTGACAAGGATTTAAAGTAATGAAGTCTCATATACTGATGGTAGAAATGTAAAATGGTACAACACTTGCAAAATAGTTTGGCTGTTTTTTAAAGCATTGAATGTATACCTTCTTTGTGACTCAGCCATACTCTTCCTTGTTATTTATGTAAGAGGAAAACAAAAACATATGTAAGAATAATGACTTATAAGTGAATGTTCCTAGAAGCTTTATTTCTAATGGCCTCAAAATGAAAACAACTCAAATGTCCATAAATATGTGAATGGATACTTAAAACTTAAAAGGAATGAACTATTGATATATAGAACATAAATCTCACAATCATTACACTGAGTGAAAGAAACAAGGCAAGAAAGCATTTACACTTCATGATTCCATGGATATAAAATGCTAGACCATATAAACTAATTTATACTGTCAGAAAATATGTCAGTAGCTTCCTGGAGACAGCAGTGGAGTAGAGAATATATTGCATATGGGTGCAAGCAAACTTCAGGTGATGATGGAAACATTAATTATCTTGATGTTGTGGTTGATTTCATATGCATATACAAATGTCATAATCGTTGAAGTTGTACTATTCAAATATATGGTATTTACTTCAATGATATCTCAATAATGTCATCACATTTTTAAAAATCTGACAGTAACAAACATTTGGGGAAATACGATCATCCTCAGCTACTAAGAATTTAAATAGACACATTTTATAACTTGACACATCCTGATAAAATTGAAAATATGCTCATATATTCCAGTTCTGCAAAGGAAAACTTTCCCACACTTGCAAAGAAATATCTAGAGGGGTCCTTTGCAGTATTGTTTATAATAGGTAAGATGTTTAAATTAGAAAAATATTCTTCAGTAGGTAGATGGATGAATAAAATATAGTATAGTCATATAGTGCAATATTATATGATACTTTTAATACAAATAAACTAGATCTGTAAATAGAAGTATGGGTAGATGTATAAAACATCATAACTGAGTGAAAAAGAAACAATACAAGATCATATATGCAATATGATATAATCTATGGAAATTAAACATGTCAAAATTATATCTTTTGTGTATCTGTATATATAAATTTATAAAAATGGGCATATATAAGCTGTTAGTATATAAAAAATGCACTAAACTCATTATGTACTTTTTTTCTTCATGGTCCAGATAGTGTATAGGGAAATGCAACTGAAGGGATCTCAGAGCTTAAGGAGGTTTTACCTTTATCTGTAATGTGTCATTGCCTGAAAAACCTTGAACAAGTACTATCAGATGTTAATGCTATTAATTCTGAGTGTTTGGGATACAGGCATTTGTTATATTATTTAATATTTTCAAAGGCTTCTCAAATGCACACAAACAGCAATTTATTTTATAATAGTAAATAATGGTTTTTATATGTGCTTAAAACATAATCTGAAAGAACACAAACAAAAATTATAACAGTTGTTACTTTTAGAAGAAAGGAATGGGATTTAGGAAAGGTAATTTGCAGTGGTGGGGGAGGGTAAGTTAGTCAGTAGTTTTTGCCTTTATCTGTTGTGTTCAAATTTTGACAATGAGAACATATTTGTGTCTTACTTTTGTATTTAAAATAAATACTTCGTGAAATAGAACTAATAATAAAATGGTGAGCCACTGGGCCAAGTTACCCGGTAGAAGCAAATATATGCTGCTTTCACAATACTGAGAAAGGGTAGTTATGGAGGTAGAGAATGGTTTCTAAAAAACTTTCTGTTCTGAGAAGGTAACTCCTGAATGAAATCTAGAATTCAACCCAGTGTTTAATTCAGGAGTCCACTGGTTTGGACTAGAACAATATACATTCTTAATTTCACTAGTTTCTAACTGAAATTTAGCATTCTCATCAACTACAAATGAGAACAGCAGATCTCATTGGTACTGGTAGACCTGTGACTTTATTCCTAATAAAAACCATGGTATTTTTTAAATCATATTATAGCTATTATGGATATATGAAAAGATCACTTAACTCATTACTAATTGAAAATTAGGGTAGTCATTAGATTTGCTGCAAGATCCTGCTACTTAAGGAATTAACAAAAAAAGAAAAAAATATATTTAAAATTTTGTCATTTAAAAAAATGTCAACTGTCTTCCTTTGTTTTCAAATATATATGTAATAGTTTAAAAAATGTTGTTCTGAAATGAAGTAAATAAGCTTCACTAGACTGTCAGAGGGGTTTACAACATACACAAAAATGTTAGGGCCTCTGATCTAAAAGAATGCATCATGCAAGGATTGGTGAAGGGTGCGGTGGACTGGGAGTGCTGAGTGGGGTTGGGGCGGATTGGAATAGGCAAAGGACGCTGGATGTGGCCATGAGAGCATGAGGGAATATGGCACCATAGGATATTTTATTTTATTTTATTTTATTTTATTTTATTTTATTTTATTTTATTTATTTTATTTTATTTATTGATTGATTGTAGTTACCCAGAGGTGGGGGAGTGGGGGGAGTCTATTCTTACCAATCTAATCAGCAGGTGGTTTGGTTCAGGAAGTGAGTAACTTTGGAGCAAGAAAGCATATCATGGAAAAAAAAATGCTTCTCAAAGTCTGTACTTCATACTACTTTACATGAGAAAATTATTATCTTCAGATTTTTAAACATGAGTTGATAGTTTATAATTACTTACCACCAGGTACTCTGTTGAAAAAAGAATTCTGTGAGATGCACATGATTAAATTGATCTGATTAGAAAATTTGGGTGTCTCCATGATTATCTACATCCAGATGGAAAATGAAAAATGCAGAGAAACATTGTGTATTTTGTCCAGATCAATAGAATTATTGCCTTCAAATAAAATTTTTCTTAGAGTTCTAATAGGTAAAAATGAGGCAAAACTGGTCTGCTTGGTGAGCTAATGGGAAAGCAAGAATTCTGCCTACTGTCTGTCCACCTTATCCATCATGGAAGCCCAGGAGGCTACTTTACCAAACCTAAGGTTCCATATACCTCAACATCTAGATATTTGGAACCATCCATCTTTTTCCCTGGCATTTTTCACTTTAATCTGTACTTTCGACACTGTGTAGTCTCAGCTATATGCTTTTTAATATTATTATCATTTTTTGTTCTTTGTATATCTGTATATCAAAAATGTTAGAATTTCAATGTTGACATTGTGATCTCCATCTCTTATTTTCTGACAGTGTAGGAGCACTATTTAGAAGAGCAGGGAGGTAAAAGTCCTCTTTGTTTTCTCTCCCATTCATTTTACCTTCTGAGTCATTGACCCTGAAAAAGTCCTTAGAGTCCCTTGGTAATCATATCCTCAATTTCATTTCAGTAATATTTCGCTTAGCTTATGTTCTTTACCATGTTTTTATCAACTTTAATACTTTCAAGTCTTGAGTGATTATTCATTTTGTATATGAGAGATTGACACCTGTAAATTGACCTTCATATACTCAATTTCAACCTTGCTGTGATGTATCACAAAGGAAATCTCAAAATATTCCATGGTGGCATTAGCTGTCAGTCAATAGTTCTACCTTGGAAAGTTCATAAGGATATGTTTAATTATGTAAATTTAATACTAACTTTTATTTTGTTTTGCTTTATTATTTTATAAAAATGACTGGGGGAGAAAAACAAAGGCTTCATATTATGTTATAATTAAGTACAGTGATAAATAATCTATAGATATGTCAAAGGCACAAGTCTCATTCTGGATTAGCTGGGTACTCACTGAAGATAAGCATGTCTACATAGGTCCAGTTATGTCAGAAAGAGCACTTTTATGTACTAATAGAATCTCCACCACATAGCATGTCTGCTGGTCAACTGACACAATTTTCGTTTTCACAAATTTTAGAGATAACGAAGTAAGGAGGCTTCTTGTACAGATTCTTGCTTCCAGCCAGCCCTTTGTGTACAACTGTGGTTCTGCTCACTGATACTGCTTTAGGCTCTGTAACTTTGAGCAAATCACTTAAACCTTCTGAACTTCTTTCCTCATTCATGAAATGGCAAGGGTTTGACTAGCTGATCTCTAAAGTCCCTTCCAGAGCCATTGTTATAAGACTTAATATTTACTGGATTGAAGCAAGATACAGTCCTGGCCTTCTCCCAGCCATTACATAAAGCTGGAATTAACCCACACCTCCAGCCAGCTGTCTCTGACGTCTCATACACCATATTTTAGTGTATTGATTGGATGATAACCTTTTCAAAACAAGACATCTAGTGCGCTGCTCTTTTATATCGCAGGCTGTCTTTGATGCTTCGAAGCCATGTATTCTCTTTAGATAAAGTATAAACTTATTTTATTATATCTTAGAAATTTTGGCATTAAGGAAAAAAGATTCCAGAATAAAATCAATAGGCATCAACTTTCCTTCAACATGTTGCTTTTAAAATTAAATGCCAACTGGTAATTTACTCCCAGATCTGTTCAGACTTTACCGTAACTGAAAGTAGCTTCAGACGATTATTTTTTCCAGCTAGGAAATTGATCTCATACATTACATCTAAATAGTTTAAATCTGTGTGCTATTAGTAAACTGCCTAAGGAGGTCTCCAGTCTGTACAATATTAATTCAGATAAGCTTGAGATTTGTTAGCATAATAATGAGGTAATAGTTTGTTTAATTTAATCTTGACACAGTGATATGTGACACTTCAATAATAGCTAATGTGACCTTAAAGGTTAATGATGGCATCACTCATCTGAAGTGACAGACTACTTCAAGTTCTCCTGTAGTCGATCTTAATTCTATTTTTTTTTATTAGGTTACTGGTGTAGTAATGAAGCTTCAGTGAACTATTATCTGGAATTGCAAACTCTGCCAAATTAGTTCCAGAGGTCACATGATGAGACATTTCATTGTAATAGTAAATGGCATATGATAATAGACACAAAGGGGTAGAAATGTTTCTACGTAGATTATAAAATGCAGGAACTTTTCAGAGATGCTTCTGTATGTGGAATTTTCTCAGCTAACACGTTGAAGTTTTCTCAGGCTATCGTGTTATATCATTCACCCCCCCTCTTACTTTGTGCAACAATCATATATGTGGCAGCTGTGTCACATAAACCACAGTGTTTGGTCATGTGAAGAAAAGAGAGATGAACCAGAATACGAGCCAGTCTGTAAGAAGTTTCAAATATACTCTGGGAAAGACAACAAATAGACAAATTGCAGGTGATCTGTAATAGGAGGGAATGAACACAATTGCCTAATGAGAGAAAAAAACTTACAGTGCTTTCAGATTCATAGGAGGATGAGAGAAATTTCTACCCACTAGAGGCCTGGGAATGCCATTTCCTGGCTCATCCTCAAGCAGGAGAATTCACAAATGTTCTGATTAAAACATACTTTATTTTTGTGTAGACTTTCTGACTTTTGCAGGAAGTTACTGTTACTCTACTGTATTGGACGCTGGAGAGAGATGGAAGGGTGAAGGATGAATGTGATGAATATAGATACATAAATGGATGTTATGGAATTGAGAAAGGCATTTTTTGGTCATCAAGATATAGAGGAACTAGCTTCAAAAGTATAGCTGTCTAAGCAACTTGAAAAAGGAAAACTAGGTGAATGATCTTGAATGTTGAGGTTTGTATGCATATTTCTCTAATCCATATATAGGATATGTAATATATACAGAGAACTTCTTCAGTGTGAGAAGTTTAGAAACCCATGGAGAGTCAGATTATCTAATTTTATGCTTCAGATACTCTGAGGTGATCTTCTTTTTGACCTCTTTTATTTTAGTTTTTGAAAAATTCAGCCTGTCTCTTCAGTGTTAATAAAGCCAAGGAAGTATTTGTCTTGGGTTAGGAAAACAATGTATCTTAAGTCTCCCACAGTGTTTATTTGTCAGATTTGGGGAAGCCTTCATGTTTGGATTCCCCTCACATACCCCCCTCCCTCCTGAATGGTTCATGGATAATTGGAAGCATAGAGTGTTGGTTAAAGAGAAATGAAACCATGGGACTAAATTATTCCATGTGGCTGGCGTGTGACCTTAAAGCCACTGCTGAATGCATTTTTGTAGAAAACTCAATTCATTTGTGTAATGTATCAGCTCCCTCTTGTGACTATCCAGCAGCCAATTTGACGAGGAGGAAATAAAGGCACCTTTTATCTACTTCCATTTCCTTAGTAGAGTGTTAGGACAGAATTGTTGAAGGATAATCATACTCATGCAAAGAAAAACTCAAGTCATGGAAATTAGTAAGACTAGGGCCCTTTGTGCTCTGACTCCTATGACAAGTTCTTACCCACAATTCAGTCTATAAAGGGCCTATATAAGTGTTAGTTGAGTGAATGCCTTACCAGCCTGCAGACCCTAAGTGTATAATGTACCTCAGATTATAGCAGGTGATATCAGATAAATATTGTATCAAGAATACTGTGGCATGCCATTTATTTTCGTCTTTTTTTTTTAAATTTTTTAACGTTTATTTTATTTTTGAGACAGAGAGAGACAGAGCATGAACGGGGGAGGGTCAGAGAGAGGGAGACACAGAATCTGAAACAGGCTCCAGGCTCTGAGCTGTCAGCACAGAGCCCGACACGGGGCTCGAACTCACGGACTGTGAGATCATGACCTGAGCCGAAGTCGGCCACTTAACCGACTGAGCCACCCAGGCGCCCCTATTTTCGTCTTTTTAAAATTTATTTATTTTGGGAGAGAGTGTGAGTCCCCACACATATGAGCGGGGGAGGGGCAGAGAGAGGGAAAGAGAGAGAGAATCCCAAGCATGCTCCGCACCCGCACCGGCAGCACAAGGATTCCGATGTAGGGCTTGAACCCATGAACTGCGAGATCATGACCTGAGCCAAAATCAAGAGTCGGACACTCAACTGACTGAGCTACCCAGGTGCCCCTGCCATTTATTTTCTAATGCAGATATTTTCCATAGACTATTAAGGCCACCTAAAGTCATTTAACATAACAATAAAATAAAATAAAATAAAAATAAAAATAAAAAAAAATAAAATATAAAATAAAATATGAAATAAAATAAAAAAATAGAGAAGTTTTTCCAGTCGTCAGATCTTATTCTGTTCTCAAACATGTCTTTTAGAGTGCCTATCTTAATGGACTCTAATCCATTCTTGTTTTGTTAAATAACTATAGTTAATTGTACAGTTTGTAAATAACTTTATGCCTTTTCTCAATTGCCTCTTGTTGTGTTTAGCCTGGGAGGTAGATGTTGGCATTCTCTTTGGCACAGGCCGGGGCTGTGAAAGTGCAAATCTCAGGGAAGTCCATTCTCAACTAGCAAATGGTGAACCTGATCCGAAGACCCAGTCTTGGGACCTGGTTTTCTTACTCTAGGACCAGTCTTGTTTTGTTTACACAAGACAAGTGTTCTTAAAGCGTTTAAAGAGCCCTCTGCTACTATCATGTCAAGGCCAACGGGGCACTTGTAAACTGCAAAATCAGGTGCCCACACGAGCCTTATTTAATCAGAACTTCTGGCTTCTGATGTTGTTCCTAACTCATTTGCTCTCTGTGTATATTTCTTTTTCATGTCTTCATGTCTTTCAGCTTCTTAAAAAAATCCTTAACATGGTTAGGTTGCACATGACACAGAAAGCCCAGCGCTAGGCACACGGGAGAGGGGGAGGGGGGCAAAAGTCAGGAGAGAGCAAATAAAAAGAAATCAAACTAAGCTCCCCCTCCCCAGAAGAAACTTGCCCTCCAGCCACCACTCACACACACATCGAAGGCCTCTGAACATAGTCACCTTGCTGGAGGAACAGCCAGACAGAACTGACCTGCTTCTGCCCCTCCTCCTCTCCCCTTCCGGTGAATGAGGGGCTGTGGTGGATGGTCCCCCTGTCTTGGAGCCCTGGGTGGACAAAGGAGCTTCCGGAAAGAGAGGAGGAGGATGGCCAGTGGGAATGGGCTCCCTTCATCCTCGGCCCTGGTGGCCAAGCGCCCCTCCGCCCTGGGCCCATTCCCCAGATACATCTGGATCCACCAGGACACACCCCAAGACAGCCTAGACAAGACTTGCCACGAAATCTGGAAGAGAGTTCAAGGCTTGCCCGAGGCCTTGCAGCCCAGGACCTCAAAGGAACAGCTGTCTGCCCCCATGACTGGGACCCCAAGAGACAACAGGCTCGGCTTCCAAGAAGAAGCTCTGGAGCTCAGCCGTGATAAAGATGAGATCTCCCTGTTGGTGGAGCAGGAGTTCTTAAGCCTGACCAAAGAGCACCTCATTTTGGTCACAGAGAGCTCGGAGGAGCTGGAGGCCCCCGGCACCTCTCCCGAGGGACCCAGACAGCTGGCTCCCTGCCTTCTCATACCTCCTCCAGTGGCGGACAGCAGTGAGTACCCGGGGACCTCCATCATTGCTGGTGATACGCTTCTTGAGCCGAAGGTGGCCATGTCTGTCATCAGCAGCCGGCCGGACTGTGATTCTGTCATGTCTACTGTCACGGGAATTCTGCGTGCTGCTAAGGTCAAGAGTGTCAAGGGGACAGAAGATGGGGGCCACAGCCTGGGTGCCTCTAACTCAGAGATCGGCAAGCTCCTGGCTCAGTTCCCATTCAAGTCCACAGAAACGTCCAAGGCTCCTGACAACAAGATGGTGTTGGAGGAGACAAGGGTCATCAAGGACTTCTTGCAGAACAGCATGTTCGGTGGCCCAGGACCCAGGGAGCCCATGGGGCTGGGCCCATTCCTACTGCTACCGCCTCCGCCTCTGTCTGCACCTCCTGAGAAGCTCCCTGAGCTCCCTCCTCAGAAGAGGCAGCTCCCAGTGTTTGCGAAGATCTGCTCCAAGCCCGAGGCTGACTCTGCTATGGAGGGGCACCTCTTGATGGAATGGAACCCTAGCACCAAGGATCCAACCAAGGGTCGAGAGAGCCTCTTTCTCAGTCAGTGGCCCCAGAGCCGGAAGGACACCAGTGGTGAGGAGAGTTGCAGTGACCCAATAGGCTCCATGTCCATGGCCCTGCCATCCACGAAGTCTGTATGGCCAGCTGAGAAGAACCTGTTCTATGAGTTTCTTGGGGCCACCAAAAACTCCAGCGGGCAGCTGAAGCTTCGCAGCAAAATGGAGGTGGACGGGCTGGAGCTGAAACTTAACCCACCTGTGACGGTGGCCGACAAGAACAACCTCAAGTACACAGGGAATGTATTCACCCCACGCTTTGCCACGGCCTGGACCTCAGCAACCTTGAACCAGCCACTGTGGCTCAACCTCAACTATCCACCTCCGCCCGTGTTCACAAATCACTCCACCTTCCCACAGTATCAGGGCCTGTATCCACAGCGTGCAGCCAGGATGCCCTATCAGCAGGCCCTGCACCCCCAGCTGGGCTGTTATTCCCGACAGGTGACACCATACAATCCACAGCAGATGGGACAGCAGATTTTCCGCTCTTCCTACACCCCCCTGCTGGGCTACATCCCCTTTGTGCAGCCCAGCTATCCATACCCTCACAGGACACCTCCAAAGCTCTCCGCCAATCCCCGAGACCCTTCCCCCATGGCAGGAGATGGGCCGCAGTACCTCGTCCCCCAGGCGTACGGGTTTGGCTCGACGGCTGGTGGGCCCTTGATGAATAGCCCCTATTTTTCCTCCAGTGGGAATGGCATAAATTTTTAGATGGTCTTCTCTTCTCCCCCCTCCTACCTTAGCCCTTGGATCAGGGCTAAGGACTCTGGAATTCTGGATTCTGTAATAGCAGCGTGGCATGAAGTTGGAGAAGCCAAGGCTCCGACCAGGTCATAGACAGAAAACAGCAAGACCAGACTCATCTGTTGACCAGCTCTCTCACACACATAGCCCCCCTCACACACATCACCCGCCACACATGCACCTCCCTCATATTCACACTCACCTGCTCAGCCATCTATGCACATGTATTTAGCTGACATGAGTGATTTTTTGTTTTTGTTGTTGTTGGTAAAATAGAAATAAGACACTTAATTTTAGAACGTTTGTATTTTATGATAAAAGTGAGAGCTGCTTGAAAAAAAAATCCTTAACATGAGTTTAATGCCATTATTAAATATTCATCCATATAGCTGTGTTATAAATATTTACTGAACTCCTACTATGTGCCTCACACAGAGCCCCAGGATACAATGGCAGATGAATACGTTATAATAGTTGACATCCTAGCTTGCGTTGTCACTTGGGGAAATCAGCCATCAGGCTGATTAGTCTTATTATTGGCCTTGAACATGCAGGAGGCATTCAAATTGAGATTGATTCCATTCTTTTCAAGATAGACAGTCTCTTAGAAAGTAAAAGGAACAAAAAGAAAACAACTTGTATTCATAACCTAGTGAGAAGTGCCAGGAAGGAGACCTCAGGTAGTCCTGATACAACACTTAGGGAGTCTTAAGCAGAAAGATGACAGGTCAAAAATCCACTTAAAACCATCTCACTGTGTATCCAACTACCCAGCCCATTCCCTTCAGCCCCCACTGGTTTCTTTTGAAAGGAACTCACCGTGTAAGCAGGTGAGGGAATTTGTAACAGAGCATGATCAAAAGCAAATTGGGTAAGCAATTACACAGGGAGATCATTAATTGGAGGGCTTATCTCTTCAGTGAGTTTGGAATGTGTAAACTGCAGTGTTGTGAATTGAATTTCACGCGCTCCCATTGTTTGTGAAGAGCTGGCTGTGTGTGGGAGGTGCTGAGTGATTTGCTAAAAGTGTTGTAAGAACACCAGCAATCAAAAAGCCACTGGGCTCTGCAAAGCCCAGAATTGTGTGTGAAGGTGCAAAGTCATGAGGCCGAAGTGAACTGGGACTTTTTACTGAAATAGAGCTTGAAACTAAGGAAGTACAATCAGTTATAAAGGGTAGTTTAGAGAAAGGCAGGGCAGAGGGGATTGGAAAAGGTCTGGCTAAGATCCCGTTTCATCCATCAAATTTAGACTCCTGCTGGGACAAGGTCTACCTGGGCTTGGGGTAAAAAGGCTCCTTGAAGTTCACAAAGCTTATAAAAAAGAGTCTGTTAGGAATCACACCCATATATATTCAAGAGAAATAAGAAGTCATTTTAAACCATCCCTGTATCTAGACAGGAAACACGAGGAAGCAGGGGGCCCGGTTACTTTCAATCCTGACATTCCATTCCAGGCACTCAAGCGCTCACCTGCTTTGACATTCGTACCCGTGCTACCTTCCAGCAAGCCATGCCACCTCTAACCTCTGTTGCCTTTGCCTGGATTTTTTGCCGACCTAGTTGGCCGACCTAAGTTGCAATCCAACTCTCAAATCCTAGCTCTGGTATTAATTCCTCTTTGAAATGAGTCTAGGTTAAGAATACTTCATGATGGTGGATTAGTATCTATCATAGCATCTGGCCCCTGCCTAACCTCAGCAGCCTCACCTTATGCTTTTCTGCCTTTCCTTTGGTTTTCCCCAGTCTGTAACATCTTCACACATTCTGTGATGCCTTTCTCAAAGACTATGAATCCCTTTTCATCCTTTAGAACTTTCTCCAGATGTCAGTCCCACAGGGCAACCCTTTCTGGTCCTCGGGTTAAATGGTCTAAAAGCAGCCTCCACCTCTTTGAAACACAGAGTATTTGGTGTTTATCTCCCTCACGATACTGTAAACTCAGTGAGGTTAGGGCTATATCTGTATTGGCCTCTGGTTGTGTCACTGCTTTCTGGCATACCACCTGGCATTTATGAGACCCCAACCACTGCACATTGTCTTTATTCTTTCTTCTCTGTGGACTGTGAAATCCTTGAGCTCAAGGACTCTGTATTAGTTTTTTTTTTTCCCCTTGGGTCATAACAAAATACCTGGGGCATAACAGATATTAAATAAATGTGTGTTAAATGAATAAAACCTAGAAGAAAATATCTGCGCAGGGTTTCTCAGTCTAGGCACTGTTGACATTTTGGGCTATGTGGTTCTTTGATGTGGAGGGCCATTCAGTAAGATGTTCAGCAGCATCCCCGGTCTCCACCCACCAACACTTCACACAGTTATAAAACCCAAAAATTCCTCCAGACTTTGCTAAATATTCCCACTGGGGGAGGGGCAGTGGGTATGGGTGTGCAAAATCACCTCAGGCTGAGAACCACTGATCTAGAGTACATGTCTTTAAATCACCCAAACTGTGAACAGAAACTGCCAGCTTTTGGGAAAAAAAAAAAAAAAAAAAGAAAAAAAGAAAAAGTGACCTATGGACAACAGATAACAATTATAAAATTCATTTAGGATTATTTGAATTGAAGATTAATTTAACTGATGCAGACTATCATCCAAGCTGCTTAGGGAACCAAATTTTATGTAGGCAGATAAAGGAGTTAGTAAATTTTCTCAGAATATTCTTAGTAAGGATTAAATGAGATGGTGTACATAGAAGCATCTTACATCCCTGACCAGCTCATAGTAGCACTTAAGTGAATGAGCTTTTCTTTTGTTGATCTAATCAAAGCATTTGGTTCCAGTTAATCACTGGTAACAAGAAACAATTCAAAAGAGTTTAATCAAATGAAAACACATACACACGCATAATCCATTTAGTTGATTTTTTTTTTTAAGGCAAAACTTTTTGACCAGTTGATTGACTGAGTTCTTTGTTAGGGGACTGGTGTTTTGGCATAAAGAGTGGGTTATTTTCTTTCCTGCTGGGCAACACTAAATTATATCCCACCAACTTACACTCCCTTGGAATGACTCACACAGTAGTTGATGCTGGAGTTCACCTAAGGTGAAGGTTTGGGTTATATGAGGTCAGACTTTCTCCAGGAAGCAGGACAAACAAAAATTTATAACACCAGGCTTCTTGCTGTAATTTCCAGAAGTCGATGGCCACTGACCCCTCCCCAAACTCTTTCCTGGAAAGAAAGTATAGGAATTCCCCCCAGAGGCTCCTGGAAGATGGAGAGTTTCTGGGTAAGTAGATTTTTTTTTCTTCTACACCCAGGAGGATTCATGGCTGACTGAGTAGTAAATGCACTCTTAGTGTTTCAGCTCACAAATAAAGGAGTAAAACAAGAAGGTCTGCCTGGGTATTGGCTGAAATGGAAATGGACAATAAGCAACGGAGTTTGTAAGAAAATACATCCTGCTGGACAAAATGTGATTGCTATTTTGGAAAGAATTGCAAAATTGGAAGGTACAGGGAAGTATAGATGTCATGCACTTTAAATTGAGGTCAACATTAGATATAACAGTTTATGAAATGAGATTTGCAAGAACAAACAGTTGATTTAGATTGCTGTGTGGCTATAAGCTTGGGAGGGAGTGTGAGAATTTTTGGAGGTGGAGAAGGGAGGTCTGTAGATATGTCTGCAGAACACCTAGGATTATTATTGCTGTGTTTTAGTGAGCTTTATTCCTGTATTTGGGCTTGGGCTTAAAATTGCTTGCTTCGCCATAGCTTCTCTAATGTGAAATACTTTGTGTGATACATAGAAAATCCTCAATGCATTTTTTTTCTGTGATCTATGCACTGAAGTTTCTTCATGATTTACAAACTAAAAACTAAACAAAACAATAGTTTCATACTTCTTTTTTCCAACTTATGATTCCTTTCCCATAAGACACATGGACTTAACTATAATGTCTTTAGATAGCTATGTGATTTTCAGACAATCATAACCACTCTGGCCTCAGTTTCCATATTTGGGGAAGGAAGGATTTGGCAGCTTAACAGAGTATTAATTCTTCAACTTGATTCCTGTCTGCTTTAACCTAAACCCATTTTCTTTTTCCTACTTCAATTTAAGATGAACTCAGATTCAAAGATGGGTGTCTGGGCTTCCAGGATTGCCCCACTCTGGTTATGACTTGGAATTTGATGAAAGGGCATAGATTCTTATATTGAATGAGAAATATTAGAGATTAATGTCAGCCCACAGTCAGGAGCCTATGGTCCAACATCAGGGATACGTAAATAAGACCAAACAGGCTAGAAAACTGAGGAAAATATTGGCTCTATGACCTTGGGCAACTTACTCCTTGTCTTCAGTTTCTTTATGTGTAAAATGGAGTTTGCCATTCTTCCCATAGAAGTTTTCTAGAAAGAAAGAAGAGGCAATGTTCACAGTAGCCTCAGATCAAGATAAAGGGCAAGAGATCATAAAAAGAGTCATGATAGAAAATGAGGCTGCTCAGAGTAATTCTGCATCTTGGAATCTCATAGATTTGTTTTATCACAGTTACTCTGGTCCACTGGCCAGGCGGTAACGTGCGGGTGACCAATATCATCCTGTGGGTTGCAACAGCCCTTCTGTGACTTGGGTATGGAATTTTACAAAAGCTAATTACCACCTGTCTCCTTACCAGCCTGTATTAGTCTGCTCAGGCTACCCTAACAGAATGCCAGATTGGGCGGCTTAAACAACAGAAATTTATTTTAGCACCGTTCTGGAGGCTAGAAGTCCAAGATCAAAGTGCCAGCAGGGCTGGCTCCTGGTGAAGCTGCTCTCCATGGGTTGTAGGTGGTACCTTCTCACTGTGTCTTCTCATGGCTCTGTGCATGCACACAGAGAGAATTCTCATGTGTCTCTTCTTTTTCTTACAAGGTTTCCATTTCTATCAGATTAGGGGTCCACCCTTATGACCTCATTTAACCTTAATGCCTCCCTAGTGGCGCTATCTCCAAATATAGTCATATTGAGGGTTAAGGCATCAACACAAGAATGGGGGGCACAATTCAGTCCATTACACCCACCATCTATTCAGTCTCCTTGGTACCTGTAGGCTCCATGGGAAAGATGCTTGAGGAGAGACAGAGTAGCAGGAGTGTCTCAAGCAAGTTACTTATAGATCCTAGGACTAATTGGATCTATGGTATGGAATGTTTGCTGACTCCCACTTATAAATCCATCTATCTGGAACAATACATCAAAAAATCTCAACCAGCCATGTGAAAATAGCACTGGAATTTGTGTTTCATATTTTCATTTCGTTACTTACTGTGTGGCCTTGGAAAACTTACTTTTGATCTATCTGAGCTTCAGTTTTTCCATCTGTAAACAGGAATAATAA